TTGACATTGAGCCTCAATCCATATTGTAGGCTGCAGTCCTTGACCCTCTGCAGCAGGTGCTTCAGGTCCTCTTCAGTTTCAGCAAGCAGGGCTGTTTCATATGCATAACGCAGATTGTTGATAAATCATCCACCAATCTTGACCCCACATTTCTCCTCATAGAGCCCAGCCTCCCGGATAATCTGTTCTGCATATAGCCTAGAACTGAAATTATCCTTTGACACAACTTTCAGCTAAACAATAGATGGACTCAGTGTTGTTAGGTGCCATTGAGTTGACTGCCACTCACAGAAACCCTGTGAACAACAGATCAAAACCTAGCCCTATGCTGCATCATTCTTACTGTGAGATGATGAACTCAAGAGAAGAACATATTCCTTAGGACAAGTAATCAAAAAGGCAACATTTATCCAGGATAAAGCTAAAAAGGGAGGGAGAGGTAGAAAAGGAGGACTAATGAAAATGGAAAACACAGGCAGGAAGTGGGAGGAGAGATATCACACTGTGGGGACTGCAATCAATGTCACAGAAGAAAATGTGCATAAATTGGAATGCCAATTTGTCCCATAAACATTCACTCAAATCAAGATAAAAAGTTACAAAGGAAAGGATGAAAGAAACCCTGTTGGGGCAGTTCTGCTCTGTTCTATAAAGGCATCAACTGTGAGTCAAAATCGCCTAGACAGCAATGACTTTGAATTATTCCTATTTAAAACACACACACACACACACACACACACACACACACATACACACACCCCAAAACAGAAACAAATAAGATTCAATTCCTGCCTGCAAATAAAGACAGAGACTCATGTTGTTTTAGGTGCCTTCAAATCCATTTTGCTCACAGAGACCGCATGTAACAGAGTAGATCTGTCCCACAGGGTGTCCAGGACTGTACTTTTTACAGAGGCAGCAGTGTTGGATTATCTAATAGGCAAAGTAGGCACTTTGTTTACTAATCTATCATAGATAATACCACATCTTTCTTCCTCACCAAACTGTGCTGCAATCTTAAAGACACTTGGTTCGAATCTACCAGCTGCTCTGTGGAAGAAGGATGGGCAATCCCTTCCATATAATTTACTGTCTCAGAAAACCTGCTGGAGGGTCAGCACTGGTTCCAACTTGATGGCACACAACAACCATCCACCACACCAAAGATTCTGTTTTTAGGAATGGGTGGCATCTGTCTTCCTCCCAACTCCACAGCATCTCCCTACAGAACCAAAGCTTCTTTTCAAATTTGCAATCTTAAAAAATTTACACTTTTTTAACACAGTACCCAGTTAGTGAGGTAAGCACAGGCTTGTTGTGCTTATTTAGTAATCTGTTTTAATCTTTCATTCATTTACACTGATGGCCAAAAACTAGTGGAGTTGTACAATGGCATCACATTGTGAAGAAATCAAAAGGACATTTGAAAAACAGGAAAGAAAAAAAGACCAGAATGGATATCAGAAACTACTGTGAAACTTGCCCTTGAATGTAAAGAAGCTAAAGTAAAGGAAGAAATTATGAAGAGAGCTGAACATGAGACTTCAAAAGGCAGCTCAAGTAGGCAAAGCAAGGTACCGTGACAAAATATGTAAAGACCTAGAGTTAATGAAATCAAAAGAGAAAACACATAACATTTCTCAAGCTGAAAGATGTGAAGGAAAAAAAAAATCAAACCTTGAGTTGGAACATATGAAATTACACAGAAAGTATTAAAAGAAGATAGAAGGAATATACAGCGTCACTGTATTGAAGGAATTGTTTGATGCTTAATCATGTCATGAATTAGCATATGATTATGAACCAGTGGCTCTGAGGAAATAAGGCTAAGCTGCACTGAAAGGCATCAGCAAAATATAAGGCTTCTGGAATTGATGGAAAAAGTGTTTCAGCAAGCAGATACAGCCCATTTGCCCATACCTGTGCTATTCTGCTACTTTACAGAATTGGTCAACTACGTCCAATAGTTTTTTTGCTGAGTCTTTAGGGTTTTTAAAGTATACTCTCATGTCATTGGCATAGAGGGATAATTTTACCTCCTCGTTGCCTATTTGGATACCTTTTATTCCCTTCTTTTGTCTTTTTGCTATTGCTAAGACTTCCAAAACCATATTGAATAAGAGAGGTGATAGTGATCAACAAATGAATGGCTAGAGAAGCTGTGGTATATTCGCACAATGGAATACTATGCTGCATTAAAAAACAAGGAACTCATGCAATATTATTCAAAATGGTTGACTCT